TCACTTCCCTCATCTATCAGCTGAAAATACCCGTGTTTTAGCATTTTGGGACAAAATTGGCAATGAGTTACTGAAAGCAGGGAAGTCAGGTGATAAATCTTTGCAAAAATATGCTTTTATAGCTATCCAAATCAGAAATGCAGGAACAGCCATCAGGAAACAATTTCAACGTCTCTGCTTCCCAAAAACTCGATTTACACCCGCCTCCCCCCCTCAAGCTATTTTCTCCCTCTGCTACCCCTCCTTCCTCCCCCTCAGCCCACAGACAGGGCACTCTGAGGAAAGCTGCACCTTCCAGCTTCCCTCAGAAAGTTCCCAGCCCACAGCCTGGAGAGTTCTGGCCAACTCTCCGGGATTCTACCCTCCCCAACACTTCCCCGGGTTGCAATGCCCCGTCCCAAAGACCTTCAGTTCATTTTGAGCCTCCCATTTCACCTCCGGAGACTCGCCCACAAGTTTATGATAGTGGAAAGCACACGGTGTTTCCTGTTTTTTTCTCATTCTTCTCCCCACAATCCCTTTCTCCCCTCTAACCCTTTCCGGTCAGAAACCCCCTCCCCTGAAACCTTCCCTCCCAGCGCCCTCCCCGCTTCTCCGGCACCACGCCCCGCCACCCCCTCAGGGGCTGGCCCACCAGCTGTCCCCTCCCTTTGTCCTTCCCATTCCCCACCCAGCCGTCCTTCCCACGGCCCGCCCTCCAGCTCCCAGGGCAGGGAGGGAGGGGGAGCAGGGCCGGAGAGCCAGGAAACAGCAGCTGTCATCTCTGCAGCTCCGGGCACATACATATCAGACCTGAATGGGGGAATTCAGCCGCGTTGGACCCCGTTCTCTTTTCAATCCACCAGAGCTAGTCAAGGCTTAGAGAAAATTTGGTAGAGACAGTGAATGCTTCAGAGGACTTTTCAAATCTACCCTTTCCTCATCTGATTTAACTCCTGCTGACATTAAACAGCTTTTTTCCTGCTTTCTAACTCAAACGGAGTACCTCTTGTGGGAGGCGGCATGGAAAAAAGAAGTGACAGCCAATTTGCCGATTCTATGGGGGGATAAGACTACTGCCACTGATGTTTTTGGAAAGTTAGAGAAAGGGAGTGGGGTGATGGAGCAAGTCAGGCAGAAAGCATTCCCAGAAAAGCTCTCAAAGAAAGTGTTAAAGCAGCTGAGAAGGCTTTCTTCCGGTTGCATCCTGATTCTCCATTTGATAATTATTTGAAAAGAACACAATCTCCATTTGAGTCTTTCATGAGTTTTGTGGAAAGGTTGAGAAAAACTGTGGACTTGCAAGTTCAAATGAAGGAGCAAGGCTGGAAGCCCTCACCAAGATTGCAAAGCAAAATGCCAATGAAAAGTGTAAAGCTGCCATCCTGAGCCTGCCCCTCGATCCAACACCAACACTACAAGCAATGTTAGAAGTCTGTGCCATGAAAGTTACCAACACCCCTGCTGATCAAGATGAAAGACCGAAACCAATGAGGAGGATTGCAGCTGCAGACATCCCCATCCAGCACCCACCAACCAGCTTCAACGCGTCACGATGCCACAGGAAAAATCTCCAGCTCTAACCATCCCTGACATCTTTGTGGGAGATTAGGGCATTGGACGCCCAACTGCCCTTTGAAAAAGGAGTTTTTTGATTTTAAATATAGTAACCATAAAAATCAGAATTCCCCAAAAGAGAACCTTCCAAAAAACTGAATCAAGAGCGCCCATTATCCCAGCACTATGACAAAAATAGGGTGGGTTCAATTCCGGCACAGGGGGGAAATGAAAAACCAAGTTTAAGAGAACTACCTGTGCCAAATCAGACACTTGCATTAGACATGACAAAACATTCATCTCACTATGATAATCCCATGCCAATTCTAACCATCAATTCTTCCCATAACCCTTTCATGTTGGTATTGGCAGAGCCTCTCCATTTCAAGAACAGTGACTGGCATTTTACAACTGTTAACCCTGAACAACCAGGTACTTGGACACAGCTTTGCCAAAATTGTAACAGTAAGTATGTCGTAGTTGGGGATTTAAAACACACACCCCAGGAAATTAACATTATTCTGGGTCTCATATCATTAGACCTGGAACAGTTTGTCATTTGGCTCCACTGTACTCACCCACCCATGTACCTGCCCCAAGGCCAAATAATAGCCCAAGCCATCCCAGTGCCTGAGCCTCCATGGGACCAGGAGCAAGCAAACACTCTCAGAAATAAACTCCATCCCCAGGTCTGCTGGACTCAAGTACTGGGAAGAGAAAAACCTCCATTTTAATGTAGTATTTTAATATAATATATATCATAAGATAATAAATCAGCCTTCTGAGAAAATGGAGTCAAGCCTCGCGTCTCTACACATGGGGAGTCCTCAACACACACGGCCCCTCCCCCTCTACTGGTTCGGGAAGGATTCCTCGGAGAGAAGTGGAAAGAACCTGTTTATTTAACAGGTAAAACACCCCCAGCACACAAAATGAACAATACCAGACGACAACACTCTTTCACCAATCTGAAAAGGATGACAAATTCAGAAAGTCTCTCCTGGGGGTGGTTGCTCTGTTGTCGGTCCCTCTGGCACTGGGGAAAGCTGCTGCAGCCACAAGATGCAAACTCTTGGTGTTTCCCAGGTCCCAGTCCGGAGCAGGTTTGAGTAGTTCCAAAAAAAAAAGGAAAGGAAAAACAGTCCAGGGAAAGATTTTGACTGCTTAGCTGAACTAATTAACAAGCAGAAGCAAAAAGCAAAAGCAAAGCAAGAGCACAGCAGAAGCAAGAGCAAAGCAAAAAGCAAAGCCAAAAGCCGCACCATGTACTGCTCCGTCTCTGTGTCCTGCCAGTCATGGGGGAGCAGGGTGATAACAAAAACCAAAACAAAGCATTCGCTCTTCAGAGCCAGTCTTGAAGGCACAGAACATAATATCCAGCATAAACAGAACAAACGATTTGGGATACAATCATCATAACATCATCCTAGGACAACCTGGGAGGGGCAAAGATCTGGAGGTGCTGAAGTGCTGTGGTGTGGTATAGCTCTCCTCAGTCACTGCGCTTCCAAAGCAAGTTGTGCAAAAGTGCTTCCTTGCTGCTAATGTTACAGGACAAAGGACAATAGCTCTGAGTCCTCTACCATTTCCTCAGAGCCTATGCTAGAGGAGTAATTAAATACTCTGGCAAAACCAGCAGAAATATGCTTTATTCTGCTCTGTGACTCATCGGGCAGTCACCAGGAATAGCCAGGAATTTAAAGGAAAAGTGCCTTGCCAGGCTGTCTGGTTAGTGGAGTTTGTTGCTGAGAAAAGCACGGACAAGTTCACTATGTATTTCTTGCTACTCTTGCATGTATTCACCTTCCCAAACCTATTTATCCTGCCATTTTTCATAAAGTACAGTGAAAGTTATATGGGAATCTGAAGGGAACCACATAGGACAGCAGCACACCACTGAAGACAAACCTGGCAAATGAAGCCATGGGTAGAGGTTTCATGCAAGGGGCTGAAGGGAGGAACACATTTTGTCCAGCTCAAACATCAAATCAAATCTTCCCCATGTACTCATCATGGTATCCACCACATCCCACATTGTTTATGAGCCATTCAAACACCTATTTTGTTCCTCAGAGGCACTGGGAGTTCAGCTGCAGACAAGTCTATTTTAATAAGAGAGCCTGTGTGCACCTGTGGGTTGAAAGCTGTCCCTGCTGGGGTGGATTCTCCAAGGACCACCTTGCCAAGAATACCTAACACCTGTGCAGAAGACAAGATTCAGTCCCAGACTGCCCTCATGGCTTGGCACCTGCCGGGGCTGGGAACCCAGGTTCCTCACCAATCCCTGCCTCCTCCCCATCACCAGCATCTTGCTCTCCTTCATCTCACATGCAGACTTCCAGCATGGCAGTTCTGCTTCAGATGGAGGCTGCCCATTTTGTTGGTGGAGCTGGTGACCTGCCAGCCGATGCTGAGAAGGCCAAGGAACATTTCCTCATCACTCATGTCACCGAGACAACATTTAACAACAGAGCTGCAGGACCTGCCCTGTTCCACCTGTTTGCACCAAACAGCCAAGTCAGACCTGGCCCAAAAGAGCTGCTGCCATGACTGACAGGAAGTACAGCCCTCTGCCATCCACCCTGCTGAAAAACGAACCTCACTGTCTGGATTCAGTTTTTCTAGACACTGTTTTGTAAGCTGGGGTAATAAAGAGAGTAGCAAACCCTGAGGCCAAGGCTTAGCCTCACAAATTCCCTTCAGGAGCTGAGGAGAACTGATAAACAGCACTAATTGGTAATCTCAATGAGAACCATTAGTTCATTTTGAAGGGGGAAAATGAATCATTAGCTGGTTTATTGCAGCAGCACAAATTAGTCGCTTACCTTTTCTTTCTTTCTCCTCTTTCTTTGTTTTTGGTCTATTTTAGAAACATTGGCCAGCCAAAGCTGACTCACCAATATGCCTGATGTTTTTCTTTTCTCAGGTTCACACAGAAGCACCATGGACATATCATTCAGGTTCTGTATGGATAGCAACCAGGTTATTCCCTTAAAGTTGCACCAGGTGAGCAGAGGCTGGATGTCAGCAGGCAAAAGTCCACTGTGCTGAGCAGTTCAGAAGCTAAGGTTCATGTTTACCTTTGTGGAAAGTCTGAATGGGCTGGACTCTGTGTGTTGCAATGAGGGAGCAGTCTTACTAGTCAGGGGATATACAGACAGATGGGACACTCACTACACACAGAAAAATGGAGACACAAATCTCTTCCTGCATGGCTTAAGTAATTTGGAAAAAAAGGTCTAATGATTTATGCTGTAAGAGCACTGTAAAACATGGAGTGGTGTAACAAAATCTGAAGTTAATACCAAACTCCGCAGGCTGGTGTGGCATGTGGGTGTTAGGACAGCACTGTTCTTACTGCACTATCAACGGCCCTACGGCATGCTGGTGGGGCAGATAAGAGGGACAGGTCTGTCTGACACTGTTGAGTCAGGGACGGAATGAAAGACTCCATTCTTCAAAAGGTGAATCAGAAGGCCGAAGACCAGTTTAATGAAAGTAGCAGGTCGTTTTATAATGTGACTCACTAAGGTGAGACTTGATTGGTCTCTAAGTAAAAGCTTCTCACACTATTGGTGAACTATGAATAGCACACTCTGGAGAACCATATCTATAAACAATGGTTACAGAAAGAGAGATAATAATTGTTTTAATTATTTTTTCTAAGTTTCCCACAGCATCTCACAGTTTCCAAGGAAAATTCTGGGACAGCTTTCTCTGTTCAGACTACAGTCTGTCCCCACAAAAAAAGTGCAAGAGAAACAACTGAATGTATGAAATCAATGAGCAAAATCCCTTTGTGGCTATTCCTACCCCAGCTTTTGCAGACTTAGATCCTCTGCAGCCTCATCTCCACACCTTGCTGTTCCTGAGCATTTCCACACAGTCTGGGTGACAATCATGTCCTACCAGGGCCCTGAGGGCACAGGCAAAACAACGGGGGAAGTTTACACTGCAGCTTCCCCTCGGCTGGGTTGCTGCTGAGAAACTCCTCTTTTGTGCGCTTACTTACGTGTGTAGGTAAAAACAGACATGGATCTTGTGGCTTTTATTTACAGTCCAGTTAGAAAAGACCATAACACCCTGCCCCACCCCTCCCATCTGATTAATTTGCTACATTTAAAAGAAATACAGTGTGGTTTGCCAAGACATACAAACTCCTTTGTTCTGAAAAGGCAAAGAAAGCAAGTGAACAGCATTTTTTTTCCAGTTAAGTCAACTCCTTGATTACAAAAACACCATCAAAACTAGAAAGATATATAATACAGAGAAAGTACTAGCAGGGAAGTCATTTACGACTACCACAAAAGACTGATAGAAACAAACAAAACCCACAAAAATTTTAAGGCCCATAAACCACCTTGTTCCTGTGTCATCAACATACGATTTATGTCCCTGGAGGTGTGACATGGAAGCTGCTGCATCTGCAGCATTGAGCTGAGCCATCTGATATTGACATCGTCTGCTTACAGCTTCCAGGTTCAGAAATTATGATAGAGCTGGCAGGTTATTTGGCCCCATTCTCATACATCACATCTGTACATTCTTATACCAAAGCCTGTATTTTTTTTTTCTCAGATGCAGCTGGCAATCAATTGTTTTTTCCCTGGTGAACACCACAGAATTAGGTGTAAAATGCCCCAGCTTCCAGAATCAAGTACATCACATATAAATTCCATTCCCAGTAAAAAATATATGCAGATTTCATAGTAGCAGAGGAAGAGTTTAAAATGTTAATCTCACAGTGAGCCTTTAATGCTGCAAAATCACAAACACACCCCTCATTTTCTTTCTGTATTTTTACATCTTTCTCATGATTATTTAAAGGCTCATTATGTCCAGGGTTTGACATGAACAACCATGAAGCAGCAAAGCTCTCCGTGTCTCAGGCCACATTCCATTTATGTCCAAGTATATTTTTAAGTACACTCATAATCTTAACCCTCTCAGATAAAAAAACACAACGAACTCAGAATCTCAGAAAACCAAGACTGTCTTTTCCTAATCCTCTATTATCTGTTTCTTCCACTGCTTTGACAATTCCTCTCACTACCCAAACTCATCTCCATCTCTCCAGCTGCTCTGCCATCCTCTGTTTTCCTTCATTTCTCTCTCCCTCATCTACTTGCTTTTCCATCCATCCTTGGCTCCCTTCCACACGGCAGGAAGCTCTGGAAAACCAACTCATGCCTGAAAACAAACTTCAGTTCAATTATTCAAAGATTATTTTCTCATCCTTACATTTCTTTGACCCAATCTGATTTTACAGAGCACCGGAATTTTTTTCAGAGAAAAGCTCTCAATCTTGGAAAGGGCCTGGTGCAGGGGCTCAGGGCTGTTGGTCCAAGAGGTTTTTCAGATCCAGGCCTCAAATTTAATCCTGAGAAAGCAGCAAAGGCCTCATGTCCTCTTCTGTGGGGCACAGGGAGCTGCGCTAGCGGACGAAGGATGCCACATGTGCTGACACTCCAAAGGGAGCAGAATAGGCTGCTGCTAATCCTTGCAGGCCGACCACCAAGTAGTGACAACCCTTCTGCAGAACCTTCCCGACATTCTGGGGAGAGAAATGAGAAAAAGGGATAAAAAAAGACAAGGTGAAAGAAAAATACCTTCACATAAAATCATTCCGACAGCCAAAATCACGGCCCCAGAAAATGAAATTCTCCCACAGCTAACAAGGGCTGGAGAGTGGAAAAACATTTTACCATCTATTTTTATATAGCCATACACACCCACAGGGTATAGTTCAACTGAACGGATGCAGCCTCCACAGGAAGCCAGGCTTTTACATGTGATTCTATTCAAGAATAAAATTAATTTTAATTTACCCTAGTTTGTAGAAGTACATAATTCCCACATTACATGTTCTAACTATGTTAGCAATTCCTAGAAGTTCATAATGTGCTAAAACTGGAGCTGAACAAGAAGGCTATAATCACTGAGAATACTTTTATGGAAATGTCACTGTTTTTTTGTCAAAATGTGATTTTTTTGGTCAAAATAAGAAAGTTTTGGTCCACATCAGTACACATTCAGGAACTCATCTATGTACTGCACTAGAGACAAACTTGTCATGGATTGTTTAACTGAAAACCTTAATCTAATTTTAATTTCATTTTTGATAGTTTTTGCTCATGTGGCTGCTCTCAATTGGAGAATTAATACGATGTAGTCAGATTTGGAGGAATATCAGAATTATTGTTAGTAACTCCTTATGTTTATGTAGGACTAGATTAAAATGACCTCTTGTAACGTGGAAAAAACCTAATCCAAGTAAGTATTTTTAAATCAGTGAAATCCAGTCAATATCTATTATATTCTTATGATTTCTTAAAGCTGGATTACAGAGGTTCTGGCACATAAAAACCTTCATCTGTCATGATGCTACTACACAGGTGAACTTTGCTGGTTTACTCCCATGGAAACTTACTCGAAAGGAGTTAAGATGCCAAAATAAAAAGGTGGCACGAGCTCGGGGGCAGATCCTGAGGCTGGAAGAGATGAAGGGCCCTTTCCACATCTGCCCCTGCCTCACTATATCACACTGGAGTCTTCATTCCCCCTTCCTGCCCTTTGCTTACCCAGACCTCACCTTTCTTTCATGAGTTGTTCTTTATGCCAGAGCCCAACTGGCAACCCTTCCCTGTGGGAACGTCATCTGACCAACACAAAAGGGAATACACAGTGCCCAAGAACTGGTCTGTGCTCTAAACACCATTAAAAGCCAACAGCAACAGCACCACCAGCAAAGTGATGACCTACTGCAACTATTCTCACAAATCTGCACCCTACAGATCAGGCCTACAGGCTTGAGACAGCTTCCTACAGCATGGGACCTGGAAAACAGTGCTGGAAACTCAAAGAATCAAATTCATCACAAAAGAATGAAATATTCTGTTAATTTCTTCATGAAACAGTAGGATTTGAGAGGCAGTTCCTGACAATGTTGACATCTCTAAACTGAATTTCAAAAGTAACTTTGCCAGGCTAATGGCATTTTCTGCATGTCAGACATAGCAAGCATATCTTTACCAAAATAATGGCATTTTTTAAATAGAATGCAGTAGAAAGTCGTGTCTCATGCTGACATCTGTAATCTCAGCAGCAGGAAAGGATTCCTGACAACAGAAAGGTTTCTCCTCCTAACACTATTTTTTCCTATGAACATCCAAGACATACCTGAGATGTACTTAAGTGACATGAACAAAAGAAAAACAATGGAATTCTTCCACATGGCAGTTTTGTAACCAAAGGCACCCATCTTCCGGTGGGAGGAAAACCAAACCACCAGACTGTAGGACATGTGACTTCCCACACAGGAAAGCAAAAGAACAATTTTGATCAAAAATAACAAGCTGCCTTTTTTTTTTTTTTTCTTCCCTGTAACTCACAGCAGTGATTTCTAAGGGTCACCAAGGAATGTCCCGCAGGGCTGTTTACCGTTTCTTTCGGCACTTCCAGTGGAAGGGAAAAAAATGCAGGCCAATTAACTGGAAGTTTTAAGGAATAGTTTTAAAATTATGACGCCGAGGAACGCAGAACCAAGCGAGGCAAAGCACCCGTCACATGGATCAGCTTAGTGTCATTTTCACTTCGAACAGACAGATTTTGTGCTCTTTGATCCAGGCGACGGTCGGTGTCCGGCCCCCACAGCAGCACCGGCTCCTTCCCGGGCAGGTCGAGAGCAAGCCCTGACCCCACCTCGGAGCCGGGCGCTGCCTCTGAAATGCCTGCCGGATAAGGTCCATTCCGAGGGCCCCGCGGAGCTGTCGGAGCCGAGGCCCCGCTGCCCTCTCCGCACCGCAGATCCCGTGCCGGGGGTCCCCATACTGAGGGTCGCCGGCTCAAGGGTCCCCGCTCCGTCCGTCCCGGGAGCGCAGTGTCCTCACCTTTCCGTACTTCTTCAGGCGCTTCCCGTAGGGCCGCTTGCCGGGAGCCCGCGGCGGGCGCAGCGGCTCGTAGGAGCCGGGCAGGACGGCGAAGCGAACCTTCCTGCACCCAGCTCCCTCCCCCTCCTCCTGCAGCGCCGCCGGCCGCGGGGCCCCCGCGCCGCGCCTGTCCCCCGCCGCCGCCTCCTCCTCGCCGGACAGGATGGAGACCTGGTCGTCGCCGGCCCCGCGGCGGGAGAACCTGCCCCGCACCTTGGCGCCCAGCCGCGCACCCACCGTCATGGTGCCTTAGGGCGCCGACCCGTCTGCGCCGACCCCGGGCGCTTCCTCTGCCGCTGCGCCACAGGTGTGGCCGGAGGCGGCCGCTGCCCCCTCCCCGGGGCGGGACGGCCGCGGGAAGAGGCGCCCCGGCCAGGGACAGGCGGGCGAGGGCTAGCGGTGCCCCCGGCTGAGGACCCTGGCCCTGCCGCTGCTCTGGTGCGGCAAGCCGGGAGCTGCTGCGGGAGCCCGGGATTGGAGCCTGTCAACTCAGCGGGACAGGTGAACGCTGACGGGGCGGCACAGCCCCGTATCGCGCCCGGGCTGCTTCGGCCTCGGCGCCGCGAGGGCCGGCGAGACCCTCGGAAGATCCTTCCGTGGCACCGCACGCACTGCCCCGGCCCACGGCAGCACCGCTCCAGGGTCACGGTCTTTCCCCGTTAGAGAAAAAGGCCAAGCTCCTCCCATCCCTCAGTTATAGGTGTTCCTACTAAAGCCACGGGTGAACAGCCTTTTCTTCGTCCTGGGCTGGGTTCGGCTACCCCTGGCCAAAGGGAAAGTGGCGAAGTTTCTCAGTAGCTTTGTCCAGATGCTGGGGGAGGCTGCCATAGCCCCACCTCCGCGGCTGGGGTGCTGCAGTGTAACAACTGCCTCTCCTAAGCGGTGTTCCTCAGCTAGGGCACATCAAGAAATACAAAATTGTACAGGGAGGATAGATACAATTTATTAAACCAGTTGGTGTATTTATCAACATTTGATATGCATATGAAGGCTTTGGACAATTAGATGCAATACGAGGACAGACTAAACCTTTCCCCTGGATTTTTCTTACTAAGGAACAAATCCTTGAACTTGCAATCTCCCCGAGATGCGCATGTAACACTCAGAAAGTAAATCCTGCACTTCACAGTCTTATCTGCCTCAAGGATGGTGATTTACCACCTTCACAGCTCCAGAAAGCTGTGTAAAGAACAGCTGTGTAAAGTGGGGCCATGTCCCTGAAGGGTGGAAGATATGAGCTAAGTCTCAGGACTGCCACTACAGAAGTGCTCTATCCCAGTAAATGAGAAGCTCTGAGGTAGATAATATTTCCCTATCTTCCCAAGAGAGGCAGGCCTTTCCCCACAGACTTGGTTTGTACCTTGCAAGTTTGCTTCCCTTTCCAGAATTTAACTATCAAAAATCTCACAGAATACATCTCAGATGAGATTTAGTGTCTCCATTTGCATGGTGGCAGGGGAATCATAACATGTTCCGAGATGAACAGGTCCAAGGTACCCTCAGGTGTATGACACCAGATACCAAAACCTCATGTCTAAACAGTTCATGGAATTTTAGCATCATCCATTAACATATGGCATAATGACCCCACTTGGTTCCCCAGCAGTGTCATTCATTCAGAGGACCAGGAATGACTGTTTATTGTATTTTCACTGATTTATATACATTTTAATGTTTTTAAACTGGACTGTGTGAAAAGGGATGCACTAGTTTTGGAAATGTTGGTATACCTCAAAGCAAGAAATGCAAAAAACCCCCCAACCCTGACTAGCTGAACCATGCAGTAACCCCATTGCTCACCTGCCACCCATCCCAAATACCCCCCAGAGATGCTGGCAACAAATTACAATTGAATTCATGAGGTCTCTGAAGATATGAGGCATCCCTGTCTGCCTTGAGCTGGGAAGTTTGATGTGGCATTTAAAAATTCTTTCATATTTCTAAAGTTAAAGCTGTGCTGATAAAATGCCACACCAGTCCCCTCCCACATGGAAGTTGGGACCATTTGGATCTGAAATGCAGCTTATCCCACTCTTACCAAAGGACTAACTGATACAGAACAGGTCCAGCGCAAGGCAGCAGTTGAGGGCGCCTAGAACCAGGCACTGAGGTTGGGTAGGCACCATCTCACTGATCCCAGACTAAGAAGGCTCTGCTTGCCAATAAAACCAGAGAACTTTTTCAGAACTGCTTTCTTCAATCTTCCTGTCTTACTCCTGCTGGGGCAGCAATTTGGAAAACCAAATGCTGCACTTGTGTACACCTAGGACTTTTACATTCAGACTGTGTCCTTGAGGAAGCTCCAGGTGTATTTGCTAAGGAGAGCATATAGCAAATATGAGGTGGGTCACAACTCATCTTCCAGCAAGGCAAAAAGAGGGCAAAGGGTCTAGGAATCAGGGCAGTTTCACACTGCTGGCAGCCACTGGACAGAACACCATTTGCAAGCTGCCCTGATAATAAGAACATTAACTTGGCAGTGCCATGTTTCATGGGAAGGCTGAACTAAAATTTGTCAGCTTTGTCCTCTGGAAAAGCTATGTGTGTTTTATGGAACATTGCTACATCTCCTGTTACACGGAGCAGTGAAAACCAGCAGCAATTTAGGCCAAAGTTAGCCACGGAAAAACAGTGCCCACCCATAAAGCGGGAAGCTCTCCTAAGTATTTAATCTACTGTCTCACAGCATGACCTATATTTTTTCCACTGAACCTTCTGAAAAGGCAAAGGGTTTTGTTTCATGACCAAGTTCACACATGACCTTAGATTAGCATCATGATTACATTCCAGTTGTATTTTAAGAACAGATGTATTTTTAAGAACAACTGAACATTTATAGACATTTATGGGTAAATTGAGCAGACACACAACTGCTTCCTCCTCCCCAGACCAATTTTTTGTGAAATCCTATAAAAGCTCATGGACATCCATTTCTCAGCAATGCTAGACCACCGATAGTTTCTGAACAGTGCAGGACCACTGAATCCATGCAATGCTAATTCTGATTTCACGCCATGCTGAAGGTGGAGCCTGTGCACCTTTAAACTGTTTTGCTACCTGCAGTAATGACTGTGCTTTTATAAAGGGCAAACAACAAGTATTTTAGTATGAGAACTGTTCAAGTAAGTTTTAATAGAGTGCACCAGTGAATCAAGATGACTTGCATCAGATTTGGTTCAATGAACATCAGAGAAAAAAAAAAAAAGGGGCTACAGTTCTTTCTTTCCAAACACCACCCTTTTTCTAAGGCAACAATACACGTCCATTTCCAAACATAACTGTTACATAGGAAAGCTACATCACAGTACAGTATGTAAAGTCCATCTTGGTCAAGAAGCCATTAGAGAATGGCACATTTACTACACTTACAGCTTTCTAACTTAGGGTTACAGAATTTACCACAGCTTTTTTTTTTTAATTTTTATTTTTTAAAGTGACGATTTCTTAATGAACTTTCTATTCTTCACAAGAGTGTGCAGATGGGGCCCATATGTTGATATTACAGTAATTACAACATTAAATAACATTGCACAACCAACCTCTATGGTTAATTCAGTACAAAAGAACAAGTATTAAAATGTACCAGTACTAGTGGTTTTACATAGTTTATAATCATTAATTATGAAGGAAAAAAATGTGGGGCTGTTTTTTTTTTTCTTTTCTGTAGGCAAGTGCCTAATTACAAAGCTGCACATTACAGGCATAATGATGTGGAATAAATACAAGAAATCTGGTAAAATATTAAACACAAACAGGTTACATGGGAACAAACTGTACAACCACAAAAGCATAAATCAACAATTCATCATTATAAACAATGTATGTTTAGCTGTAAAATATTATGTGGAATTGCATGTATTCTTTGGGGGCACATGTTCCAAAAGCCAAGCTAATTCCTGAGGTGGTATAATTAACTTGCACAATTGGTCAACACTTCAGATTATCTTGTGCTATTAAACAGTCCCAATGTTAATAGATTTCCATAAAATGGAATTTGTAGTATTCTGAAGGCAGAAAATAAGTGATATTTTACACCAAGATATTAAAATGAAATTATTCCGGTTCTCCATTTTGGTGCTACATTTGTTAATGGGCCATGAGAATAAGCACTGGAATTTGCAGATAGAAATCTTATGCCTGGTTTCTGTTCCCCCACAGCTCTGAGCTGGCCAAAGGCAGAACAAGGTTTCTAAACTGTAAGTGCCAACACTGTAAACATATTTGTCTCTTTTTTTCAACTAAACACTGTCCAATAACAAAGAGCCATAGATAAGCAGGAACAGTCTCATGTAGAACAAAAGCCAATTACTCATTGACTTTTAGTTCAACTCATGAATAATTTTTAAATAATGAAAAATGGTCATGCCACAGCTGTGAAAACTAGTTTGTGCATTTGACTCGGGACACAAGTTTTTTTAAAAAACGCATGGTAGAGGTAAGACTTATAAAACCCACCAAAAATGTAAATGATAGGGAAGAACTTTTCCAACTCAAAGCATCAAACATACATTTCTGTGCAGAAATCTAGACAACTATACAAGATCTGAATTTAAGCAGTCATCTTTTTATTATACAACTCTATGAACATAAAATGAACAGAATGCTCTATATACTTACCTGTACATGTGAACATAACTTCTTTAGCTACAGTTATTTAATATAGGTCATACTGGATTTAACTTTACAATTCTGAATAACTATGTATAACCTTATTGCAATAAGGGCAATTTCTACACGGGGAGTTTCACAGGCCAATCACATTAGGTGAAACCAGTACATTCAAAGTGTAGATCATGTATGAATCTTCCCTGATCCCAAAGAATTTAGGTTCTCTTTACAGCTTAAGCTCGTTTGCTATCTTGGATGCAATGTTCTTAAATGCGATAGAAGTCCCAGATATTCTCTTGAAGCGAACTCCATTGAGCGACAATCGTGGCAGTTTGCAGACTTCCATCTCCCACTGAACAAGGCTGTCTTGTCGTGCATCACCGTGGACACAGAAGAGCAAAAACCTCTCTTTTTGTTCGTAATCACAGTTATTGGCATCTAATACTTTCCGAATCTCTCTCATCATATCATTTGGGTCCATAGAACTCGTGGTCTTCATACTCCATGTGAAGCGCAAGGAGCGTGGCTTCAAATCTTTGCTGTCCTCCTTCTCTCTGTCTTTAGGCTCTCCAGAAACACTCCTGGAACAAGTGACACACAGTAAAGTCAAAACCAGAGCAGTGTAGCCAAGAGAGAAGAGAAATACAGTTCTTGAACAGGGGTTTCTAAACTGCCATTGAGATGCCACGAGTCATGGGCAAACTAAATCAGGAAGTGGAATGGACACTGCTGGAACAGCCCTGCCCCACATGCTGCGTGCGTGAGCTCAGCACAGCACCGTGCCACTGTAGTGGCACGCAGCAAAGCAAGTTTGGAAACCCCTGCTCTACAAAGTTCTGATGACAACATATGCAATGGGAACTGCAGCAGACACACGTTGCTCCATACTGCTCCAAAGAAAGTGGAATCTATGTAAAAGCATGACTGAAGTTCTGCTGATTTCATGATCTGGAGCATGCCATACACCAACAAAACTGAAATTGAGGGACACAATCCTGAAGCAGAAATC